CACGCAGTACACGACCAAACCAGCTAGAGACATGGCCGATGGTGGTTGACCGTCTGACGAATACTTGCCCAGTTCGAACGCATAGTAAATGAGACTGGTTACAGCAGCAATAGCGCGGTCAGCGGCTATGATCGTGAAGCAGCTATCCAAACCTCGAACGATGGAAGGCAGCTGAAAGTGCTCCAGATATTGTTGCACCGAAATGCTTCGGCACGTAGCCAGCTGCTGCCGAACAGAAAGGACGATCCGTCTGCTAACAACGCGGCATGAAAGCGCAATGACCGCCAGAAAACACAGCAACAGTTCTCGCCCGATTTTCGTCACATTAATCAATATAGCGTAGATGCGAACCGTCGATTCGCTCAGTGGAATATAAGATGCAGGAATACTTGGGAAATAGCGTATCTTATATTTAAGAAAATCACGGGGAAAGTGGCTGAATTGTTCTTCACAGAATCGATAGCCGTTTCGCGATAATATGAATGCCATGTAAACGATCATACATGTAATAACTATGCAGCTATCTTTCCGTGTGATTAGTCTCCCGTACTTCCGGTCCAACTGACCAGTCAGCTCCATAATTCGCTGGCTGGCCGACCACATGAAGCAGGTACACAGCAACTTGGAGATGAAATCCGATGCGTCAATCGCTTTGTACACCAACAGCGTGAACCAGTTAGATAACGACGGGGTTTCATACATAATCTCGTCGACGGTACCGAGTGAATTTGCAGCGAGAATGAGTGCAAGGTACAGATACGCTAAAGGACGCAATATTTTGCCTCTGTTTGAGTGCTTGGAATGCGGATAAAAAAAGAAGCCGCAAAGCTGCAACAGAATGGCCCAGACGGTGGTGATCCTCCCAATAAATCCTTGCTGGGGCTTATCGTCCATCGTGCTTGGCGCGCCCGAAAACTTGGATTCCTTGCTATGATTTAGTTTGCTTGCAGTGTCCAGCATTCTGCAGATGCAAATAAAAGTTTCCTACATCCAACCGTTAGTTCAACAAGAAACGGTTCTCAGCTTGGAAGTTTCGCTCGTAAAGTGTCCCCCAACACATACGCAGCGCTTCATGTGAGAGCTGTTTAAACTGCTTTTTTCAGGATCGTCGGTTATGATAGCAGCAAAACCCTACTCAGCCGTAAATTGTAAGTACATCATCCGTATTCCAGCGCACTCCAAAGTCTTAGCATTACTGGGAGCAGTCGCTAGCTTAACGTTGGGGTACTTACCGGCTTTGACGCAACCAGATGACAGCGGAATGTTTGACACACAGCGCAGGCCGTAGATACATTGTGGCTGTTGAAGGGGCAGGTGAGCAAATACAGTAGATCAGATGATTATTGCATATGGTCCTTTCCCGGCCGTACTTCGTGTAACTGTCGTTTAGTCCGTTGACTGACCTGCTGTCTTTTATTCCGATGGCTCGATTTTACGCTTCTGCCGTATTATACCCAATAAGTCTTGCGTTAAGTCTTGTATATATACTTTTGTATATAATCTGCCTTTTGGGCTAAAATATCACCGGTCGACATTCCGACTTGACACCGGTCATACAAGAAATCGGTGTTGATAAGAGGCATTTCTTTTACAAAGTGTACCTACATTTTACAAAGTGTATGTAATCCTCCTAAGGATTCCTCTCAGAAATACCCCGAATAGCTTCCTGGCCGGTTTTCATTTAGCAAGTTTCTTAAATTCGAATTCGGGAGATCCGTTTACCCGATCCAAGAGAGATGGAAGTACAGTACTATATCGATGATTCCGGCAATCGCAATTTGCAGCATTGCTTTTGACTCCACGCAAAAAGCCACGCACGCCCACCATTTCATTACCACGCAAAAAACTTGAAGGAAGAATATATAATACAAGAAACAGACTCGGCTTCGCCTCCGCGTTTCTTGTGGTCAACGGCCACTTTATTTTATTTAGTTTTCAATGAATATTTATTAGAATAACATATTTCGTCGAAGCATGATCGGTACATCGTATGAGCGCAAAAAACAGATTTTATATAAAACGCGGATTTGATTTTTATACTACAATAAATTTTTTAATCACCATAAAATCACCATAAATTCTCACAACTGAATTCATGATTCTGTGAACCTTAACCTGATCAATCTGGGAAGTGGAAGATAGGTCACTGGTTTTGCATATGACGAATCTGTGGAATGGACAGAACCGCCTGCTTGGTCCCCCGTTCACCTAACGGGTCCGGTACACTGGACAGTACGGGTTGCTCGGTCACCCGCTAGCGCGTTTGCTTAACGGGCCATTTGCGCTGGACAGTACCGGCTGCTTGGTCACCCGCTTACCTAACGGGTCCGGTACACTGGATAGTACCCGGGTCCGGTGCACTGGATTTTTTATTCAATTCATGATTCTCTCAAATCACCATAAATTTTCACAACTGAATTCATGATTCTGTAAACCTGGACAGTGCCGGTAGCTCGGTCATTCTTTCTCTTAGCGGGCTCTGTGCACCCGCTAGCTCGGTCACCGGCTAGCTCCTTTACCTAACGGGACATTTGCGCTTAACAGTATTGGCTGCTTGGTCACCGGCTCACCTAACGGGTCCCGTACCTTGGACAGTACCGGTTGCTCGGTCACTCGTTCGCCTAACGGTTCTGTGCACTGAGCACTGGACAGTACTGGTAGCTCGGTCACCCGCTCACCCGCTCACCTAACGGGTCCCGTTAGGTGAACGGTCTGCTAATTCGATTCATTCTGAGTTAAATAGTAGAAATGACTTTCATTTTTTAGCTATATTTTAGTTGGCTTACGTGGCAACATTGCCTCGTTAAAAATACCCCGATAATACTTATTATTACAATAATCTATTTGCATTTGGTGAAGGTAGTCATAACTCTTCTGCTTCGGCGTTCCAAGCGGGAGAGGTTTTGAAAGAAATGGATACTATCTGGCCGGGTTTTCGACTACGGGCTTTCAGAATATACCTAATATTGGTTTGGGTCAGTCTTTTCTGGTTTGCCGTCTCTGGTGTATCCCATTCGTGGCTATATAGATCTGAATTAGGATAAAGAGTTTTCCATGTTGAAATTCTTCGTTTTCCTTTTGAACCGTGTACCTGTAAGACGATGATTCTGTAGTTCGATGAATAAACAAACTGCTTCCTTTAACGGTTGTCAGTAAAGTTTGCAATTTTCGCGTTAGTACAAGGGGAAAAACAAGTTTGTGTGACGTTACGGCAACACATTAGGTCAAATCAGGCGCCGTACATAAGCACCATGTACACCCACAACGTAAAACACCAGCCGGCTGACATTAGAAGTTCAAGGGACTGGTTCAGCTAGACTTGTTTTTCCCCTATATTCTATATACGTACCCGTACCAATCTGGCCGTATTCTGTAAATTTAGTTTCAATATGTAAAAAAAGCCAAATATAAAATGAAAACTTATCGGACAAATAAAAAAAAGGAAACCATTATAGGCACCCCCTAAAACCCCCGTTTAATTTAGGCACCCCTTTTAGCACCGTTTATTATATGTAGACACCCGTTTTTAATTAATATGGTATATAAAATAAAAAAATATATAAATTATGTGAACGTATTATTGATCATTCGAACATGAATAAATTTCAGCGGTCAGGCATTAACCATTTACAATTTTAAATAAGAAATGGAAGAACCCACCAAAAGGATAAATAAAAAAGAAAAACCGTTTTAAAATGTAAGAATGTATTTTTAAGTCTAAGAAAAAAAGCCTTAGAACAAACTCTTAACAAACCATGTTAAATTTGTTTTCCCGTTTCGGTTCGCTTTTTTAGCGCATGTCAACACTGGTGCAGTTTCTTAGTTTGTCATTGAACTTAAAAACTTACTATGGACAAAAGGTCAATGTAATAGTGTTACCCAACTATACTAGAAGCTGATTACCGAATCTCCTGGAAAGCCTGATGTACTAGTACTTAAATCGACGCAAGAGAAAAATTATTGCACCATTATATCTGAATAAAGTTGCATTACCATCTGACCAGTTAGAACACTGAATCTATTATATATCACATTAATTTAAAAATGGTGCCTATAATAAACAGGGTGCGAAAAGGGGTGCCTGTAATATACTGGGGTTTTAGGGGCTGCCTATAAGGGTAACCAATAAAAAATGCTTCAACGCACGGAAATTTGGGGCGCAAAGCCAATTATGTGTGCGCCGTTTGTGTAGCACATAGCAGTCACCTTAAAGATACAGTAATATTATTTACATTAGGAGTACCAAAATATAATTATACTTGGGACCTTAGGTTAGAGGCACTGCAATAGCGCATTTGTACAAAACATTCGTCCATTAGATAACTCCACATGATATGTAGATGGTTGGCATCAGCGTCATCAGTGGGGCGTGCGCCGTGGAATGGTTGTCGGCGAAACTCAAGAATTTAAATTTTTCGCAGTGTCTTCGTATCCTGAAATAGCCCACTGCCGCCAGACAAATGCCGCTACTGCAGCGCACTGCACTTAATCGATCCGTTTCCGGTCTGTTAAGCGGACTACACAGTATCCAAGTTTCCCGCCCACTACATGCGTTGCTGTGGCATGTCTAACTTTCATTCCGATCGAACGCGGCGCCGGGACTGCAGAACGCAGACCCGCACATGCTCCATCACCATGGACCTAAAGCAACGTACTGCGTCGGCTTTCCCAAGAAACGATTTTGCAAACGTGTTTTTTTTGTCATTAATTGTTGTTGCGCTATCTGCGTCCGTGGAAAACTGTCATTGCGAGTAAAGAAGGTGTGATGATTAGTCATTACGCGTAATGAGAGTGTCTCCAAGTTGTTCCACGTGTAACGACCAGCTTACGCTGGTAAATTTAAATAAGATCAGCAGCCTTTTGATGCACCTCAACCGTACGATGGACAAAGATGTCCCATGTTGTTGGAGCAACAAAATCCTACACTGATATCATCGCTGATTTAACGTCATTCGCCACCGATGGCAATCATTACAAATTTACGATCACTGCAGCGGTGGCGCTCGCAGTATGCTTATAGAAAGATTAAGTCTTTGTTTGAAGCACAATAACTAAATTTTATTTATTGTGATTCAAGCCTAGACCTTACAAGGAAATCGGTAACCAGACCAGGTAAAAAGTGTTTTATTTAACTTTAGAAATAATTGTTGTTTTAATGACAACAAATAGTTGTTGCTTTTTCTTTACCGGTTTATGGTTGCTGTTTCTTATCTGCATGCACAATGACCAATCAGTCGGGTAAAAAAAGCGGAATTCAAACAAATTTTTTTTAATAAGGGTCTCTGAAGGATTTTACGCTGACTTGTGTTTTTGGTATACCGGGTGGCTAAATGAAGTCGCCGGCTAGTTTACAAACCGACAGTAAGCCTGTGGAATGGTACATTGGTTTTTTGCAAGTAAATTAATTTCCAAAAATGGGTGAAGTTGGAAAGCGTCCTGAACCCAAAATCCCAATTTTGCTATTTTAAAAATATTCCAGTCCTGATGCTTTTAGTGGGCATCAGTCAGGATACTTATATAACAATACGCCAGCGCAAATTTACGCTAACTGAAATAAATCAGTATCAAAATGGAAAAGTAAGTCATTACACTAATTGAATTACCGAATGCCACGTCACTGTTTCGGGGATCGGATTTGTGTTTGTTATTTTAATTGACCGTAAAGAGCTGCGCCAACCTATTACATGTGGTCGGTCAAGAAACCGGATGATCAGATCACACCAAAATTTAGTGAAATCCACTAACAGATGTTTCGAACTTAAACTTCCTACCGACGCTTTAGGAATTATTCTAGCTTATTATCTACGTTACTACGTAATTTTATAGTCCAAGTAATTTTGCATTAAAAATAATTACCATTCTCTGGAGTAGAAGAAAAAAATTCAAATATCGCTTACATCAGAGAAGTATTGTTTTATTGGATTATTCACATAACATTGGTTAAACTCAGAGCTGCGCAGCTCTTATCATTCAACACATTTCAGCACTCATCACTTGAGCACAGCCAAGAGTAGGCAACCCAGTTGAACAGAATGTTTTCTAACGCTGCCTGGCAATCTGTCTAGATCTAGATATATCTAGATGCCATATCTAGATATTATATGGACGATTTCGTACGTCTCCAAAAATTCGACCCTTTATTTTCGATACGTATTCATGGTATTCATACGTATTCTGCCGGCATTCGTTCGTGTTCTGCCTGTATTCCGCCTTATGCGCTCCGTATCCATGAGAGTCTAACTGCAGCGGGTCCTGTATTCCGCGTATTTCACCAGTATAGAATAAGAAAACATGGAAGAATACAGGCAAAACACGCAAGAATTCTGGTATAGGGCCCGCTGCAGAGAGACATTTAATGGATATGGGGCGAATAAGCTGGAACACAGGCAAAACAAACAAAAATACCGCCTGAAAATGTGGGAATACTAGGGATACGTAGCGAAAAATGTTAAGTCTAATTTTTGGATTGGTAGCCATAGGTGGATATACCTGTGGTTATTACCCGACGCTCTTGAAACTCTGCTGTAATAGACACATGGCCATAGAGTCGAAAATGAACCATTTTCAGGTTCATAGCATTTTCTCAAAATTTTAAAATGAATTTTAAAATTTTTGAAAACCATTAATTTTTAAAATCGGGAAAGAATGCTATGGATATTACTATAATTATATTGATTCACTCGACTTTATGGCCATGTGTCTTTTATAGCAAAGTTCCAAAAATATCGGGGTTATAATCAGACTTTTGATACACAACAATGCATTTTAACTTTTCATCCATTTTGGTACGCCATATCTCGGCCACCGGATGCTGCGCTTGCAAACGGTTTTCAGAACAATGTACAGAAATAATTTAGCTTTAGAATGACATAAAGTATTACAAAAAATTGATTCGGATTGCGCGAAAGCGGAAGTTTTAGTGCATGTGTCCCATTTTCGACACCATGTACCGGGATATTTCCTCTAAGCAGCGGAATTGGAAATATTTGCATAATTCATTAATTTTATGTTTATATCCACCGTCACTTTTAGATGAAATCCTGATTTCAGCTGAAGCATGCCTAGAGTGGCACAATCCGCTTGTTTGAACCAAGAGCAATAATTTTCAGGGAATATTCCCCCTTACATTAGTCTGCGAGTTTTGTGATGAGATTGTGTTACGTAAAATTAATAAGTAGCTTGCACATGACAAGCTTTTCGAAATTGTACGGCAACTGTACAGCATTCCGGTATAGCGAAGAACGCTTTAGGCATCACGAAAGAGCTTAAGCAAAACATATTCACAAAAATCTGCCTTGGACTAACTGGATATTATAACATGAAAGCGCTTTGGGGCCACGTAGTATACTAGCAGCTAAGATTACGCACACAATTAGGCTGCTGGCGCGGCAGGAGGTCTGCCGCTGTCCACCTTCATCCCATTAAGCCTCGCTTCGTTCGGCGGACAATCGATCAGAGAAAGATCTAACCTAAAGAGCATGTCATGTTATCCAGGGACTCTGGTGCTCTGAAACACAATATTTGAGCACTTCGGGTGGGCGCTACAGCCGTGTGTTTCTCCATAAAGGAGGCATAATTCACAATTCGATAATTTAAATACAGTATCTTTTCTTACAGAGGATCCTCGATTCGATGTTCTTTCTGGGAAAATTCGAACCCCACTTTGCCATAGGAATTGTTGTTCTCTCCAGCACATTTCCCGGTGGACGCCGGTTTGTAAGATGCTTTCGTTGTACCGTCGCATGTTAAAAACTGAGCATTGGATGCATATACCGAGTCTTGCTGCAAAAGGTCATAACTATTTATTGCGAGAATGTTGTTCAGAAAACTCACCCGGCAAACATTTGCTTACCTTTTGGTTGTATTTCCGTAGCTGTTCCTGCATTATAACCGCCAGATCGTCATGGAAGGTATTCGAAAATTCATATGCATGAATTTTGCTGTCCGGTTGAAAGAGAGCCATGATGCTGAGACGGAAAAAAAATTAGAAAATCGATTAAGTAGAGACAAAATTTTCGAAGAGCAGCAATAAGTTTCGCAAAATTACCACGAACAAATCAAAGGAAAAATCACTTCGCAGAATAATGGATAGGTAAGTGGCGCAAACCATTACTTTTATGGAAGTTTCGGTGAACATCATGAAATTGCTGAAGACAACTTCCGCGGGGCACCACTGGCAGTAACCTACAATTGCTAATAATGTTCGCAGAGTCGGAAGTTTTTGATAATAGCTGCGTGCTAATTATTGGTGATTAATCGGGAGTACTCAAGATTTATGCTGCACTGTATATTGCATTCAGCTGTTTTCTTCGTTTAAAAAGTATAGTTATGAACATAAGGTGAGCGTACGGCTTCATCGGATTAAAGATCGGTTAATTTATGGCTGGTGCCTGGTTGGTGCTGGTATGCTGCGAATTCTCGTTGGCTTTTTAGAAAAGTGTATAAGGTACTACGAAGGCCATGCACTATGGAGCACTGGAACGTGAAGTACTTCCCACGGTTGTTTTTTTTTTGTTTAACCATAAATTATGCCAAATTACGCTTGGCCAGCTTCAACTAGTCATGCAAATAGTGCATTTGCAGGTAACTAACAGAGTACTCTGTAAAGACCGCGCGACTAACACGAATATTTTTCATGCGATCCAGTGAAATGCAGACTACGCTCTTACCGTTAAGTTATTTCAGACTATTCAATGAACACTGAATAGCGCTTTACCGGCTGAGTTTACCCGCTACAGCTGGCTCTTTGTTGAAAATAGCGCCCACCTGAGTTGACGATAGGACGAAGTTGTGCGTCGGCATTCACCGAACACACGAAATCTTCAATTATTCTTATGTTTTTTTAATGTTTAAAACTGTATATTTTTATCGCTTTATCTTTATCTTATCTTTTACTAAGCGTTAACTCGCGCTGGTGTATTGTTATGCGTCCTGGCTGATGCCGATTAAAAACAAAATTTTGTTGGTGTTACTTTAATGTGCACACTTAGGTAATCACATTTTCCGAGCTTTTATGATACAGTATTTCTCTACTGCAATAAAAGCAAGGGCTCACGCGAGCATTACTTAATATCCTATTTACAAAATAATTGATACCAGCAGAAGCGTTATATGAGCATCATAATCTGTTTCCGATTATCAGGACAATGTACATATAAAGGCCTAACGAATCAGGAGGCTTTTTAACCCATGAGGACCATAGCAATTATTGGTATAGGTCAATTGCTCTGTGTAAGTCTTACGCGACGCGCAAGCGGCAGTCGGGTAAAAAAACATGACGTCACGGCGCGTAAGCAGGTAAACGATTTGATTGGCAAACCAGAATTCTGGGATGGGTTTTCAGCTTACCCGTCCGCGTAACCGTTGCGCTTCGACGTCGAAGCGCAACCGTTACCCAAACTACGAGTAGTTCGTAACTCTCCTGCCCAGATCAACAAAATTTTTGTTTGTTTGAACCAAAAGTGCATTCGGCGACCCAGATTCACACTTCTAAACTCAGAATCAACTTTTTTGACGTAGCACCACATTAAAGCATCGAAAATAAATTTTTCAGTTTCACTTCAGTTTTTCCGCTGTTCAGTTTCTTTCTTGCCAGGGAAGCGTACTCGACTTACGATTGGACGATAATTTTTTCGCTGAGTCATGGATAGATTTTTACGCGTTTCTCCCTTACCCGACGCGCATCGGTTACCCAAATGCAATTGACCTATACCATTAGCTTTAAATACAATTTGCAGGCCGAACACTGGTGTACAACAGCTGAATTCTCAATATTCTTGTTTTACGCGGCATTAGATTTGACGTAAAGCGAAGAACGCATCAGGCATCACAGAAAGAGTTCAAGCCAAACTTAAACACCATGTATTGCAGCTGAATAATCACAAAAATATATGATGTTAAAAAATTCGCGGAATAATGCGTTAGCCACCGCTTTTTCTCTCATATTTTCCTTATAAAGCTTTCTGTAAATAATTCGGTGGAAACATAGCAGGGAATTGCCGAGAGGTGCGACTAACAGTACCCTACAATTGCTGTTATTATGACAACCCTGGATAGTTAGGTTAGCTGCCACGCGTAATTTTCGTGGCTTAATACTTAATCGGCCGGGTACAAAATTTATTGACTCGTGCTTTGTTGCTTGAAATCTTTTCCTCGTTTATGAAGTAGAGTGTTCAAGAAAGAAATACAGTGAACAGTTTTGTCCGATTAAAGACTGGTAGATTAGATGGCAGATGTTTGACTGGTGTTGATCAACCGCTAATCACGAAGTCTCTCTGAAAAATGCTGAAGAGCTGCAAAAAATAGCAAGGAAAGTAAATATTAATCTTATGGTCAGGCAGTATCTGTACAGTAGTATAGGACGTACGTAAGCTGTACCCTGTATTGACAACAGTACTGAGTTGCAAGTAGTACAAGCACACCCAAACCATCACTCCACACCCCACCGGACCTCTGCCCCCCCACCGGACCCCAGCCCCCCCCCCTCCCCTCCACCGGACCCTCGGACCTTCAACAGGCAAAAAGCCTCATCAACATCGGACAAGTCCCCAATAGGGATAGTCCGACTTCTTGGCCGAAGGGTCAACCCGGAGGCTACTTCATAGCTCCAATAGAGCTATCTCCGAAGATGTCCGGTCGTCAGAATCCATACGAACGGAAGTTCAATCAAGGCTACGCCCGACGTGACAACGCAGGCGGGTATACCTTCCGTCATGCCGGCCCGGGTAGTGAGCCTCACTCGTCGGACTCCAACCGATCGAATAAGTCCGGCAAGTCGAACCAATCGACCAAGTCAGCCAAGGAGAAGCGAGACCAGCGGATCCAGGCGAACAACTTCACCCAATCGCCGGAGGATAGCTTCGAGGACGAACACGACCGGGCTTTCCTCGAGCAACCACAGGCTGAACCGGAGGTTTTGCACGGCCCAATAGGTCGAAATGCGAACCCCGAGCCTGCGGCTGGACTTGTGCACCCAATAGGTGCCTCGCCGGTCTTCCTCCCGGCCATCACCCCGGACAATGGAGCCTCGAGCCCGGCGCTAAGTAGCTCCGAGGTGTCACCAGACATGGGTGACCCTGTGCTGCCCCAACAGGGCGGCATGGCTGGACCAAAGTCGAGGCAAGGCCAGATGAGCCCGAGCCAAATGAAGGGTACGGCATCACCGACCCGGGGGGTGACCCACAAGGCGGGCTCACCGACTAAGTCCCCACCGACCCGGGCTCAAAGCCCCCAACGGGCAATAACTCCAAATCTTCGGACAACAGCCGGAAATCGGCATCGCCGGACCCGAGACGACCCTCCGGGACTCCGAAGGCGACCTCACCGGACCCGAGGACCCTCATTGGGACCCCAACTCGGACTTCGAAGTCCCCGAAGCCGACCTCGGGGACATCGAAATCACCGGCAGGAAGGGTGCAGGCGGCTAGAGCCTCGGACTCCGAGGCTCGGACCCCCAACACCGGGGCCCGGATTCCGACCCAACAGGTCGGAACATCCAAAACCCGACCGGCAACCCCCACCTCCTCGGCTAAGAAAGCCGTTTCCCCGGTCAAATTCCGGATTTCGTCGGTTGCAACCTCCGTAGACGAGGTTGAGGGTTCGGTTACCGAGGTTAACTTAACTTCGGCTGGCGGACCGTCATCCCCGAAACCCAAAACCCCCGGCAGTGAACCTACGCTGACCCGAGCCAGCCGGATTGAAGCCTTACAGGACGATCGCAAGTCGAAATCGGCTTCACCGAAGGTTGCAAAGCCAACCTCGGACCTTCCGGCCACACCACCGCTGTTTGAACCCTCGGGCCTCGGGGCTGACAAAACTCCATCACCGACTGACGATGTGTTCGACGCAACTGTGTTACCCAATCAGGTGACCGAGCGTCCGGACAGCAGGAAGGGCTTCAGGTTCCCGTCACCGAAGCAGTACTCAGGCTCGCATACCGGAGCCTCGGACTATACACCTCGGCGGTACCTGACAAAGACCCCTCCGGAGAAGATTGACAACCCACAAGTCCTCCGTCAACGGATCTATGAGATGCAAAACCAGCTCTTGGCCGGGCAGAACATCGTCGAATCGACGGAGAATGTTTTGTCCCAGACGGTTGCTTCGCATAAGCAGGAGCGCAAGAGGCTCACTGACGAACTTGAACGTGCGAACACCGTCATCGACGACCTCACCCAGGAGATCGAACGGTTAGAGGCCCAGTTGCAAGTAACTGAGGAGCCCTGCCGCCATGACCAAGCTGAAGTCACCAGACTCCAGGACATGCTGGAGCAGTCTCGGGCCGAAGTGGCTACCCTGCGCTAGGACTTGGAGCAGCGGTTACCGGCCCTCGGCTACTCCGAGGCTGGCTCAGCCGAACTTCAAAACATGTTCAGCCGAGTAGACGAATACCGTGAAGAGAACCACCATCTCAAGCAGGGCATTATCGGCCTGGAGGGAGAGATTGACGAGCTCCAGGCGGAATTCGATTTCCTACGGACAGCCTATGAGAACCTCCGGCACAATCAGAACGACCCGGAGGGTGTGGCCGTAGACCTTTGGCTATGCCAGGCCCAACTCGGCCAGCAGATTTTTGCCCTCACCACCCACCTCCAGAATGAGACAGCCCGGTTCGAACAGGCTTGTACTGAGAATCTCGCAGTTATCGAGGCTTAACGAGCCCGGATCACACAGCTCGAGTCCGAGAAGACCCAGTGGGAGATGGGCAAGGACCGTCTCCTAAAGTACCAACAGGAGCTCTACAGCTTCGGCATCGACCTATCCAACCGATACAACGACCTTGGCGATAAGTACAACCAGTTGTACCAGGAACGAGAAAACCTGGGCATTGAGGTCGCATGCCTGAAGGAACAGAAGACTTACCTCGAGGACTCCATGACGGAGCAACCCCCATCCCACCGGACCACCCAAGAGCAGGATAAATGTCAGCAGATTGATGACTACCTGCGCCGAGACAACCCCCTGCTGAACCCAACAGGTCAAACGGGGGCTCTCGCGGGACAGACTTACCAGGTCGGAATGCTTCGGGCTGAACCATCGGTAGGACCCGAACCGAGGGCGCCGGTGGTACCGTCAGCCCCGGAGCCGGAGCGAAACACTTCGACGGCCACCCCCAATGTACCGACCCACTCTACCACCACAACAACTACGGCCTACGGAGGACCATCCACAACGACGATGTTCTCAACCGGAACCAGGCCCGTAGCATCAACCTCAACCGGACAAGATTTTGCCCGAGGCTCGAACCCCCGAGCCCCGGCAACCGGATCTGGCATGGGACTTAGACCGCCGGCGAACGCTGTAACCGTCCAAAACGACCGGTCGTCTGAGACGACCGCCGGTCGTTTCAGCCTCTAAACCGTCCGAAACGACCGGGGGCCGCCAAAACGACCGCCGTAAATTTTGCCACACCAGTTTTTTTCGATCTTTCAGTCGCAAACAAAACGAATGAATGCAAATTCGTGTCCGGTCGTTTCTGCCGGAGTGTACTTTCGTGTCCGGTCGTTTCTGCCAGAGTGTAATTTTGTATCCAGTCGTTTCTGCCGGAGTGTAATTTTGTGTCCGGTCGTTTCTGCCGGAGTATAATTTGGTGTCCGGTCGTTTCTGCCGAGTGTAATTTCGTATCCAGTCGTTCCTGCCGGAGTGTAATTTTGTGTCCGGTCGTTTCTGCCGGAGTTTACTTTAGTGTCCGGTCGTTTCTGCCGGAGTGTAATTTCGTGTCCTGTCGTTTCTGCCGGAGTGTAATTTTGTATTCTGTCGCTTTGGCCGGAGTGTAATTTCGTGTCCAGTCGTTTCTGCCGGAGTTTACTTTCGCGGCCGTTCGTTTCTGCCGGAGTGTATGTCGTGTCCGGTCGTTTCTGCCGGAGTGTATTTTCGTGTCCAGTCGTTTCTGCCGGAGTGTAATTTCGTATCCAGTCGTTTCTGCCGGAGTGTAATTTCGTATCCATGCGTTTCTGCCGGAGTGTAATTTTGTGTCCGGTCGTTTCTGCTGGAGCTTACTTTCGTGTCCGGTCGTTTCTGCCGGAGTGTAATTTCGTGTCCAGTCGTTTCTGCCGGAGTGTAATTTCGTATCCAGTCGTTTCTGCCGGAGTGTAATTTCGTATCCATGCGTTTCTGCCGGAGTGTAATTTTGTGTCCGGGCGTTTCTGCCGGAGTGTAATTTCGTATCCATGCGTTTCTGCCGGAGTGTAATTTTGTGTCCGGTCGTTTCTGCCGGAGTTTACTTTCGTGTCCGGTCGTTTCTGCCGGAGTGTAATTTCGTGTCCAGTCGTTTCTGCATGAGTGTAATTTCGTGTCCATTCGTTTCTGCCGGAGTGTAATTTTTTATTCGGTCGCTTTGGCCGGAGTGTAATTTCGTGTCCGGTCGTTTCTGCCGGAGTATAATTTCGTGTCCTGTCGTTTCTGCCGAAGTGTAATTTTGTATTCTGTCGCTTTGGCCGGAGTGTAATTTCGTGTCCAGTCGTTTCTGCCGGAGTTTACATTCGCGGCCGTTCGTTTCTGCCGGAGTGTATGTCGTGTCCGGTCGTTTCTGCCGGAGTGTATTTTCGTGTCCAGTCGTTTCTGCCGGAGTGTAATTTCGTATCCAGTCGTTTCTGCCGGAGTGTAATTTCGTATCCATGCGTTTCTGCCGGAGTGTAATTTTGTGTCCGGGCGTTTCTGCCGGAGTGTAATTTCGTATCCATGCGTTTCTGCCGGAGTGTAATTTTGTGTCCGGTCGTTTCTGCCGGAGTTTACTTTCGTGTCCGGTCGTTTCTGCCGGAGTGTAATTTCGTGTCCAGTCGTTTCTGCATGAGTGTAATTTCGTGTCCATTCGTTTCTGCCGGAGTGTAATTTTTTATTCGGTCGCTTTGGCCGGAGTTTAATTTCGTGTCCGGTCGTTTCTGCCGGAGTGTAATTTCGTATCCATGCGTTTCTGCCGGAGTGTAATTTTGTGTCCGGTCGTTTCTGCCGGAGTGTACTTTCGTGTCCGGTCGTTTCTGCCGGAGTGTAATTTCGTGTCCAGTCGTTTCTGCCGGAGTGTAATTTCGTATCCAGTCGTTTCTGCCGGAGTGTAATTTCGTATCCATGCGTTTCTGCCGGAGTGTAATTTTGTGTCCGGGCGTTTCTGCCGGAGTGTAATTTCGTATCCAGTCATTTCTGCCGGAGTATATTTTGGTGTCCGGTCGTTTCTGCCAGAGTGTAATTTCGTATCCAGTCATTTCTGCCGGAGTGTAATTTTGTGTCCGGTCGTTTCTGCCGGAGTGTACTTTCGTGTCCGGTCGTTTCTGCCGGAGTGTAATTTCGTGTCCAGTCGTTTCTGCCGGAGTGTAATTTCGTGTCCGGTCGTTTCTGCCGGAGTATAATTTGGTGTCCGGTCGTTTCTGCCGGAGTGTAATTTCGTATCCAGTCGTTTCTGCCGGAGTGTAATTTCGTATCCAGTCGTTTCTGCCGGAGTGTAATCTTGTGTCCGGTCGTTTCTGCCGGAGTGTACTTTCGTGTCCGGTCGTTTCTGCCGGAGTGTAATTTCGTGTCCAGTCGTTTCTGCCGGAGTGTAATTTTGTGTCCGGTCGTTTCTGCCGGAGTGTACTTTCGTGTCCGGTCGTTTCTGCCGGAGTGTAATTTCGTGTCCAGTCGTTTCTACCGGAGTGTAATTTTGTGTCCGGTCGTTTCTGCCGTAGTGTACTTTGGAGTGTGAGGTGGCACCAATTATCAGTTTTTCTGATCTCATATTTTTTGCAGTATTCAAAGCTGAAGTTGAGTTTGCTTAGTTTTAGGTTTAATGCTTTCGAGAACTAGTAGTAAAGAAAGAAAAGGTGTTCAAAATCTTTGACGTTTTACACTTTTTCGGTTATCGGAAAAATATTTAGAGAATTATCGCTAGACAAACTTTACTGGCATAAAATTAATGCAATATAAATCGTGCAAGCGGAACAATGATCTACTCGTCTTGTGAATTTTGGCGTCGGCGTCTAGTCATGACTCTGGCAATGCTGTCTCCCTGGCTTGCTGTAATTACGTCTAGCCCGAGCGCCACTTTCTCCTCTGGATCCGATTTCCCTGCAAGGATGTATCCATTTAAAAAATTGTGTTCGTTATCACTTTGGACGTCTTTACGCTTTAAAAATTTAGGTGTTTGGAGTTTAATCTTATTATTCACGCAGTTTACAGAATTAGTCAACAAATATTTCTCTTACTCTTGCATTCGTTGCACTTCCAGTTGTGTACTTTAATTTTGCTGGGGTCCTTGGCCTCAGCTTTAGTGACACAGGAACGATGGAAAACTTTCTTGCATTTCACGCATGTCCAGGTAAGCTCTGCGTCATATAACAAAGGCATTCTGCAACGGCATATCAATCGTAAGGTAACTTCGTTGGTAATGCCGCATTTGCTGCTGCTTCTTCTGGTTTCGCTTGGGAAAAGAGCCAGTTTCTTGCTATCCAGACACGTTACTGAATGATTTCTCATCCCCTAAACAAATGCTTTATCATCATTTTGCACTCTTCATCGGGTTGTGCAGCTAAGCTAGTAATCAGATGGAACAAGCAAAACAAAAGTCACTGCTGCTAACCGGGTCAGTAAGCGCTTGCAGCCAGAATAAAAACTATTTGGTTATTGATTCGCGCTCAATAAATCAAAGAAGTTGTTTTCGCAATGTTTTTACGCAAATGTTAACGTAGGATTTTTTCTGCAGGGTGATTTTTTCAGAGTTAGCGCAAAGCTGCCAGAAACTGTGACCTTTATTTTCATGCAACTTTATTTTTAGAAAGTTTAACCTTTATTTTCTTCAAACAATACTTGCGAAAAACCGTAGTGCTTTTTTGTTTCTAAAACTCAAAGCGCAAGCACGAAGTATTTTCTTGAACTCATCACGAACTTCGCTAGAAGTTAATGTTTATGACAAGTTCGACGTTCATTCTAATTATCTGCGCGACGACGAAGTGCCAACGGAAAAGTGACGGGACAGTAACAAAGCGGCGACAAACGGTAAACAGAAAGCGATGCGTAAAGGTACCTGTTTATTGTACTCATTTTCACAGGGGTCGAATCCGTAGAATATATCCGTGAGGCAAGCGATTGCATAAATTCCTGAATTGTGCAGTTCATCGTCAGGGTGCACGTCTTTCCAGCGCAACCGCATAACGTCGGTTCGAACAAACCGAAAGAGCGAAGCTATCTGCGACTCCACAAAAATGTCCCTATAAGGCGTTAAAAAGTCGTAGACGTCCACAATTTCTGAAGAGTCTCCATGATCATTTGATACAAGGATCCATCTGCTGTCCGAAAGTTGCAGAAGCTGCGTCTTTCGAACTTCGTTCCCAGGGCCA